TTAAAATTGCAATTAATCATAATTATTAGTAAACTTCATACAAATGAATGTTAAAAAATTATAAATTACAAATAAAACCGCAATCATGCTTGTTACACTCACATAACCAACCTTAGCGAAGGAAACTTGCAATCCCAATCGCGTTAATTGTTCAATGGCATGCTTAGCTTGATCTTCAGTTTCATACATCACGAAACCATAGCCTTTACAATCACCTTGTTTTTGATCGATAATAGCCTTTGAAGAAGTGATGGTACCATATCTAGAAAAAGAAAAAATAAATTAATAAAAATATATATCATATTTAGACTATAATATAGTTACAATGCTTCATACAATTCCTTTACAAAACAAAAAAAAATCGGTATAGAAAATAATTATAATTTTTATAATTTGCATGTTCTATGATTTTAATCTGTAAATATTTGTGATTATACTAGCGATATGGGTAATGAGCTCTCATTCAAATCATAACTCCTTAAATTTTTACAAAATTGAGAACTTACATGGAACACATTGAATGTAAAGATTCATCAGTGGTTGTATGTGGTAAACCACGAATATAAATATTTGTGGTTTTTGTAGGATTACTGAAATTAGGGAGATTGGGAATTTGATTAGAACCAGAATTTCTTCTGTTATAATTATAATGAGTTGCTTGAGAACGATTGATTCCACGACTACTATTTAGAGGACCAACTTTAGGTGAGGGAACTCCTGGACCGGGAAGATATTGGGGAGGTGGAGAGTTCGGAGCAGAAGACGAAGTATGTGAAAGGGTAGGGGAGAGTGTGTGCAACATCCCATAAGGAGATTGTGGTGAATATAAATATGGATGCATTGGGGGTGAATGAATTATTCCGGTTGGGCCGACTTGAGGAGACGTAGGATAATAAGCTATTGGAGGACTAGTAGCAGTAAAATACGGACTCAAAGATTGTGGAGCTAAGGACGGAGAAGTTTGACCTTGAAGGGAAGGTGCTCCAGAATATGCAGTACCATAATCAGCGGAATAGAATTGGGAATACTGCGGATGCATTCCATACTGACCATACGCAGCGAAAGCGTTAGGATCACTAACATCATATCCTGCTGCCATAGCAGCTTGGTATGCCTCAGCGGCGATAGCGGTTTGTTGGTCTACATAACTTTGAGCTGAACCATTGGTATAATAAAAATTTGGAGTCGGTGATAAGGGAAGGGGAACGGTAGGATTTGGTGTTGCATTCGAATTATATTCTCCGTGCGCAGTCGTTTTACCATTTTCTTTCTTTTCTGAGTTTGCTTCTTTTGAATCGTTTCCAACAGAAGGAGCATTTGTGTTGACATCGATTTGTTTATTTGTTTCCGTAGCCACGGAGTTGGAGGAATCCTTTTGTGAAGTCATTATTTGATAAAGTCCTTTTTTGAAAAATGTGTGTCAAATATTAGAAGATAAATAATAGTCGTTGTCTCAAAGACCGTAGATGTATTTCCCCCGAAAATTATCTTGTTATCTCTTTTTAAAGAAAACCTTAATATTATGGTTTTTTCTTTCTTTTTGTCTTTACGAAAGTTAAACTCGATGATCAGAATTTTAGATCTTCGGTTTAAATGTATAATAGTAAAATAACAGCCGCTTAGTTCCGTCACTTTAATTTTTTTCTAAATCGTTAAAAAAAAACTAGTAAAAAAAATAACTCCGAGATTCTTGAACGGCTTAGGGACAGTTTTTTTAGGTCGTCCCACTGAAGAGAAAAGTGGGGGCAAACTGAGGGTGCTGAGTGGGGACGTTAAATCGGAGCCCACCACAGTCAGTGGAAAAAAATAAAGTGCGTAAAAAATTCAACGATTAATTGTATTTTTTTTCCTGTTTGTTGAATTGTGGCTATTAATGTGAAATTGATTTACATGAAAATTTCCAATTATAAACCTCACTTTTTTTATAAGATTTTATATTAAATTAATAACCAGCCATATATTTAAAAAATATTTAAATATATAATTTATAAAACTTTGATTTAAAAAATTTAAATAATTTTATTTAAATTATATCATAATTTTGATATTATTATTAAAAAAAATATATTTAAATATAAACAAAATCTAATTTTTTAATAATCTACTTTGAATTTATATTAAATCTGAACTTATTTTTACTAAAAAATCATATTTATAGCATATAAAATAAAATAAAAATTTTAGTATTTTCATACAAATATCTAAATATTAATTAAATAAAATATATTATATATTATATAAATTACTTAAATTAAATATTATTATTAAAATCAGATTTTGAAATTATAAGAATTGATTATCATATTATTATGAGAGAGAAAAAACTAAACTTATTTATTTAAATATAATAAATAATTTAAAGATTTTAACTCCTGTGTTAGAAATTTGAAAAATTAAATAAATAAAAAAATTTAGTATTATAAGAAAATAATTAAGAAATTTTAAATTTATTATATTAATAAATAAGTTATTAATTAATTGAAAATATGATATTATTTTCATTTTTAAGATTAATATTGATTATATTAAAAGATCAATAAATTTGTATAAACTAATAAAATAGTTTTATAATAATATAATCAAGTATAAAACCCATTTTATTTACATATGATTAAGGTTGCTGGACAAAATCAAGAGTTTAGACAGTCATCTAAATGGTAAAAGTAAAACTTGGTTAAATTATATTAAAACCTTATTAAAAAAT